CCTTTGAGGTGTCCAGCGTTGGCTTTCAAGTGATTCAAACCCCCTGGAAGCTCCTGCTTGCCTAATGCCATGAATATTGCAGTGAACAATGTGGAAGAAAAAGCTGTGCATTCCTGGTCACGAATCTCGTCTGCAGGACAGAAAGCCCTGGAGGAAGCCCTCCGCGTCTTCAACCCCATGTCCAAGGACCTCTCTGACACAGAGACCCAGCTGGTGGCCTTTCTCCAGGGCCTCAGGGAGGAGGGCTACCAGCCCACAATCCTGAGAAGCAAGGATGTGTACGGCTACAGCTCGTGCACAGCGGACACACCTGGGCAGACCGAAGAGAGCATACAGCATAGCTCTGGCGCGGCCATGGCACCCAACTCTGCCGATGCTCCTGCCAGACCCACAGCAACCCCGACCAGGATGGCAGCTCCACTGGCTGGGATCTCGGTGAGCTCTTCCACGGTCTCCTCCAAGCCAGTCTCCAAAGGCAGTTCTACAAATCTCCTCTTGAACTCATTGAAACAGACCAGGTCAGGCACCTCGAAAGCCCCAGCCATGGCCTTTCCTGCTAACATGTACCCCGACGTGTACCCAGCCGTGAGGCTGTCTGTGGTGCTGGAAGCCCTGGTTCCCCTGAAAACTGCAGCCCCCTGCTTGGAATCGAAATACAAGCCAGGGCAACTAGGTCTCTCCCCCTCAGACCACAGGTTCCACAAGGCGTCAAGTGCGTCGGCCAGAACCGCTAAGGTAACGTCGGGCCCGCTGGATCCCAAAGGCTGCAAACACTTCGCTAAGAAAGTACCCGACTCCTCCAGCCTTGCTGCAGGGCTCCTGAAGGGACCGAAGGGTGGCGTGCTGCAGGAAAGCAATGCCTGCAAGGCATCTGGGGTCCTGAACGGGCGCATCACGGGCAACTCCTCGCAGAGCATTAGCGGCGGGCCACCGGCCAAGGCCTCCAAAGTCAAAGCCAGGGAGGTCCCTGGAGGACGAACAGAGTGGAGGGAGAGCAGCGGGCCCACAGAGACCACCGGGCAGAAGAGGAAGAGGGCTCTGGAGCCCAGAGACACGCCACAGAAGGCGACGGCCAACGCCATGCCGGCACCGCACAAGGCCGACCGGGCGCCGAGCTCCTGGAACCTGCTCAAGTTCCGGGTCATCAAGGTGGACGGTTCTTCCTCGGATGACGAAGTACGGAGGAGAGCCCAGCAGATCCTGAGGGTCAACCTGTCCCCCGTGATCCGCATCCAGCCCCTCTCCCACGCCCACAGTGTTCCCTGAGGGGCCTTATTTTGCCACCTCTTTTAAGCGAGTGAGCGTGAGCTGAGGCCGGAACATGGAGATGTTTGAGTGCAGCCGCAGTCCTCTGGCGCCTGGGGACGATAGCGGAGCAACTTCCTGCAGCCGTGAGCCGCATGCCCTGTGCCCTTCGCGGTGGCTGCCCGGCGGCGTTGTGCAGCGCTGGACTGCGGCTGCACAGACCGTTTTTAGAGACGGAGAAGGATGCCTTCCGCCCCTGTACTGCCCTGGCCAGAGCCCTGGTCTCCTGCGGGAACTTCCCAATGGAGCAGCGGCACATGCCCTGCACAGTGGGAGGACGTGGGAATGTCTCACACCGTCAATGCACTGTGACGTTTCGCTCCCTTTCCAAGTTGTACATTTCCTGGGTTTATTTTAATCAAATTTTCTAAGGTTATTATCTATATCTGTACACGTGCAGACTGCCCAGGACGGCCAGGGACACTGGTCCTGCCTGCCCCCTCTGGAGCTTGGTTCCGGAGATGTTTACCCTCTCTCCTCTCCCCTCCGTCCATCATTCCTTTGAAGGTGCCACATTTCTCCCCTCCTTACAGTGTTGTCATCAGCTGGCTCCGGGCTCCTGC